GGACGGCATCATCATAATCTCGGCGACCTTGCCTTGTTCTTCTTTTGCCCATTTGCTTTTAGTCCAATCGTCGGACACAAACATTTTTCGCAAATTAGCCTTGTGAACATGAAATTTTTGCAAAGTCAAAAACACTGTTGCAAAACGGGTTTTTGCCGGCTTCACCAAATCTTTTTTTTGTGTAAAGTGCCGCATCATGTTCAACAAAGTGGGACGATTGTAGATGTAGCCGTGCACTCGGAGAGCCCTCTCATATGTCCTTTGAAGATAAGGAATTTTGAAAATATCTTCTAACATCAAGTCGAGGCAATGTGCGGCACAAGGACTCCAATATAATGTGGATATTTACCCTCCAAGTAATGCCCGGCCAATTTGTTTGCCGCCGCACTATCGATTACAATTTGAACCACATTTTCTTCTCCAATGGCTTCAATGTAAGTCTCCAACAAGTCTTGAATTTTCCTTGCATCCTTTGCATAGCTCGATGCATCAACCGAGTGAAGGAACACGGTGACACGAGGAGAGTTCACCAAAAAGTTTAGCAAAGTTCGACTCCACCGATCGGTCCACCCATCACACATCAATGTGCACCCGTATTGTGCTCTAGATAGCTCATGCTCTTTCATCATCTTCATCACGTGCTCTTTCTCATTCTTAAGCAACGAGCCTCTTACTTGATAGTACATCGGCAGCGGCAACCCAGAACCATAATTTCCAACGGCCTCAATCATAGGCCCAAAAGCCGGACAATTGACCACATTAAGAGGGACCGCGGCTTCATATAGGAACCTTGCAATCTTTTCATAAGCTCTCTTCCTCAACTCTTCTCGATATGGCGAATTTTCATCTATTCTTGGTTGCTTTCCTTTGCTCTTTCGACTTTCTACGGCAACTTCGGCATCGGGTGTAAAATAGCAATCAATAGCCCCTTTTGCTTTTGACCTCTTGAATTGAAATTGGGTTTTCTTCATGTTGAAACCTTGAGTGGATGCGGAGGAGGATAGATTCCTTGGAGTTGGAGCCTTCATGGGATCGATTTCTTCTTCTTCGACATCATAATCATCCAAATCAACCGCTTCATCAATGTCTACTATACATCTTCAATGCTCCGTTTGTTTCTTTTTCATTTCCATGTATTCTTTTACTTCTACACGAACTTCCGCCGGGCATTTTGAACATCGTAAGACATTTGCAAAGCTTCCAACCCAATGTTGCTTCATTCTTGAGACTCCGCCTTTGTACGTGATCCCACAAAAATTGCAAGTAAATGCATGAATATTTGTGGGACCCCTCACCGAATATTTCCAAGCAACATCTTTTTTATTATTGTTCTCCTCCATATCTACAAATAAATTAAATTGGAAAACATAAGCACCAATTATTTAATAACAAAATAAATTAAAGAGTAAGTTAAAACAAAAAAAATATAAAATAAAAGAACAGGCCAGGCCAATAGAAAAAAACCCTTCTCGTACTAACAGGCCAAGAAAAGAACAGGCCAACTCTTTCTTTTTTTGGTCCTGTTTCTTTTTTTTTTTTAATTTCTGAGCAGTGGCGATGCGAAAGGGGCGGGCCGAGCAGTCAAAGGTGACCGCCGGCCCGACTACGCCGACGCTGGAGAAGGCAAACTAGAGAGAATTGAAGGGCAGAGGCGAGGGTTTCGGTGTTATAGTTTTCCAATTGAATTTGTTCACTTTTTAGTTAGTTGACAGTGAATCCATGTTGAGTTAACAATGTTTCTTTTATTTGATAACTAAGTTAATAATGTTTTATTTGATAATTATTTTTTTATTTTTTTATTTGATAATTGAGCTAACTAAAACCATATCTACATTAGTTATTTTATATCTTTATATTTGATAATTGAGAATAGTTTTTCAAATTTTTGGCGAATATATGGTAACACATTTCTTCACACTCCAAAATTTACAATTGAATTTGTAACAGGATTTCTTCCATTTATTTATTTTGTATATACTACAATACTAAATTTTTTTACTTTTTGTTCATTTTTTTTTTCCATGCATCCGTGTAGTACACGGGGGTGTCGTACTAGTACCAATATATTTGTAAACAAGCATGCCCACAAGTGTTTTTTTTTTTCGGTACAATAAAGCAAGCCAAAAGGCCTAAGCTAGTACTCGTCGAGGATATGACACCCCGATAAGGTCATGATCAAGCCAAACACCGAGCCCCTCAGGCGGGGACGCCAAATGATGTACTCCCGTCGGGTAAGAAACCGCTAGACTTGTCAAATGACCTGCCGCACAATTAGCTTCTCTATAAACGTGTCGGATGTGAACACACCACTCTCGTTGAAGCAAGCCCCTGATAGCATGAATCATCACAGCATGGGGTCCCAACTCTCTCTCCGGATCACCCACCATACTTTTCGCGCATTGACTATCGATCTTCGCCACTACCTTCCGGTGTCCCTTCTCCCATGCGAGCTCAAATCCCTGGAATAAGCCCCACAACTCAGCCCCCGTGATATTGCAAGATCCGATATTAAATATAAAACCTGCAAGCCACCTCCCGGTCTCATCACGGAGTAAGCCCCCCGCACCGCTCAAGCCCGTAACGTTATTAACTGCGCCGTCAGTATTAGTTTAACGAAACCCGCGTCGGGGGGAATCCACTGTACCATCCTCGTGACACGTATGCTCGCGCGCGCCCACCCGCAAATGGTCCGCCGCTGCGCGTTGATAGCACTCAGTCACTCTCTGTACTTCCAACCGCCGAGCTTCAAGGCCAATTCTCTTATGCTGAAAAACACTCTCGTTCAGCCATAACCAAGCGCGCCACGCAGTAGCGGCAAATAAGGTACTCCAATTTTCGCTTACGTCTGCTCTCGCCGGCGAGAGGTTTGTGATCAGCCAAGCAGCGGCAACCGAAAAAATTCAGTTTCCAGCCCGGGGGAAGGAGGCGACGCCAAAGGGCTCGTGTAGGAGGACAGTCACGGAGGACGTGTAGCACTTCCACCTCCCCACACGAGTCACAGGCCGCAGAAGCAGTTTGATGTTGTCGGGACCGCTCCATATTGGTGAGAAGGCGTTCCTTAGCTGCCAGCCACAGAAATGTTCGGGCCCGTTGCGGGCCCGGTGTATGCCAAATAGAGCTCCAAAGTGGGCGGCCAATGTTGCGATCAATCGGTGCCAATGAGAGATATGCGGACTTTGTCGTGAAAATCCCGTTGTCAGAAAACCTCCATATGAGGCGGTCGGTACCCGCATCCCCCCGTGGTGGAAGTGTAGCAGCGATCCTAAGGACGACCCACGAGGGAAGAATCCCATGGAAACACACCCAATTCCACTCGCCATTAGAATCCACAAGGTCTGCCACTACTGCTTGGATATCAACATCACTTACCAGGGGATTCACAAACCTCACGAGCGGCCAGTCGAATCTAACCATGAGTCGAGCCAGAAACGCGCTTTCTCACCATTACCTAATATCCACCTCACACCGTTGAGGACATATGGCCAGATTTTTCGAATACCTCGCATAAGGTGAGAAACTTGCCGCCCGTTGCCCAAGTCCAAGGATGTCGGGAGCCTCAACCCATACTTAGCCGAGAGGACTTTAACCCTCAGGGAGTCAGGTTTAGATAATAAGCCCCAGCCAACTTTCATCAAGAGAGCGACATTCATGCGGCTCAGGTCCCGAAGCCCCAGGCCACCCTTGGTTTTTTGCTTGCAAACGTCCCGCCAGGCCACTAAATGCACACAAGTGTTTAGCCGTGCAGTCAACATCTAGACATAAGCATTCAGATAGCAAATTAACAACCAACGCAAGTGTACTAATTAGCTTTAGCTTGTTTGGTGATGAGGTTATTCCATCAACTTATTGCTAAGTTTCTCATACTATTTATTGAACTTTATTGTGGTGATTGGGATAATTTGTGCTCATTTTTTTTTTTAATTATTATTCCACCTTGTCATTATTTGTTAATTTTATTTTATTTTATTTTTTTATTTTTTTTTGGTTCTACTGTATTTTGGTGTATTTCGTACTCATTTGTGTCCATAAGTTTTCAACCACTTTGGCATGTGATAATTCACAAGAAAGTTATATATGTACAACTTTTCTCAACCTTTTCCCTCATCAAGCAAAAGTTGGGTTCAAGTGTCAAAAAATGATCAACATTAATGATATTATGTATATATATCACATCTATGAATTATAAAATGGTAGTAATTTTTTTTTTAAAAAAAAAAAATGGAAAACCACTTGATCAATGAAATTTCAGAAAATATCAGCTGTGATTCGACTCTTTCTTTCTAAATCTAGAATGGTATGCACGTTTTTGTTCTCCTTCCAAAATTAAAGGTTCAAACTAAACCAAACACATTTTGACATTGATACCATAAGGCAAATTTGTCCTTAATATCACGATCTTTATCGAAGCTGCAATTTAATCATTATCTTTTCAGTTTTGTAAATTATATCACAATTTTTAGTTTGTTGCAAACAGTCTGAAAAAAAAAAAATTAATAGAAAAGCTGATGTGGTCAAACAACAAACTGAAGATTGTGATATAGTTTGCACGGGATATGCAAATCGGTGCATCAATTTGCAACAAACTGAAGATTGTGATATGATTTGCAAAAGTAAAAAAATCGTGATTAAATTGCAATTTCGAAAAAAGTCATGATATCAAAGGCAAATTTGCCATACGATAGGTATATAGTTCCATATTTTGACCCAATTCAAATGAAAAAATCCTTGACAAAATGTGCTAAGAAGACTATTAAACAACTTGACTAGTCATCTCTTGACAATTATATTTTTCTTTTTTTTTTCCTTCAATTTTCCAAACAATATAGCCTCTAATTTCTTTATTAAATATTGTCTATGTGTTTCTTTATTTATTTCTTCTTAATACTTTTAATTTTTTTTTTTCCCTAAGACAACAAAACAGCCATGAGCATGCCTAAAAGAAGTTTGCTCAAGATCATTCTCCTTGGAGATAGTGGGTATGTTTTCTTGTCTACTTTCTATACATTTTTCTTTTGAATATTGATTTCTTACAAGTGTTTGTTCACATAACCTTAACTCTATCATGATTGACTAATAAAAATGATCATGAGTTTATTTTGCTTCTATTGTTCTTATGTTTTGCAATTAATTTTGATCGTCGTCGTTTTTTCAGGGTGGGAAAGACATCTCTGATGAATCAGTATCCTTTCATGTCGATTTTCGTGCATGCAGCAAATTAAGAAACACGATCTTTCTCGATTTTATAACATTTGCTCTCGGTTCAGGTACAACCTAACCGAATCACAGCCGAAATTTCTGTTCGGACACTGAACAGAACAGATAAAAGACTTTGATTTTGTTTTTTTTTTTTTTT